AGATAATCATAAAATGTTGACATCTGCGTGTAAAACGTCCTATCAGGCATTTCTTTGATCATCCAATTTGCAAAACCTGCCTGTATACTATATTTCCATCTTCCTTCATATTCCAAGATGTTTTCTAATAAGTGTTTATTGTGAAATTCTCAAATACATGTCTGGAAATAAGTTGCCTTTGATAAATGGCTGATGTTGATTTGACTGTGACCTGATTTTTTTAAGCTATAGAATATTTCTATGGGATTTTTTTAAGCAGAAGGTTTCAAGGTGATTCCTGCTGCCAAACTGCTAGCAGCAGTAGGTTCTAATGTCTAACTTTAATTCCAAATCTTCATTAAAACCTCTGAGATTATCCCTTGTCCATTTGATCCCCTTTTCTAGAGTCTCATAGTAATTTTATTGTTGTGGCAACTCCTATTTTTTAATTAAAGCATAGCTGGCACACCACGTTACATTAGTTATATAGTTTCTGTCGTACAACATAGTGATTTGACAATCCTATACATTATGCTATGCTCAGCACAGTGTAGCTGCTATCTGTCTGTGGTAACTCTTGTTGGGCGTTTTTATAGAGTTGACTTTGATTCAATGTCCCGTGAATAGGAGATTCTTGCGTATAGGAACCATATTCCATTAATCTCTCTATTCACAGTGCCCAGCACAGGGGAGATGCTAAAAAAATATATCTACTTAACTAAATTATTGAAAATGCCATCAAAATTGGTAATCATGAAGTCACTAGTGACAAAGAAATGATGGGGTGGTAGGCAAGGAAAAGTAGAAGTTTGGCACTATAATTTTAGAAGTTTAGAGAGTTTTCCCAGAACAACTGTGGAGAGAATTAACATTAGCACTATATAGTGCTCTCACTATAATTGAAAAATGACTGCTTTTTGATTCACTCTGACATTATTGTTATTAGAAGCTTGTGCTACTTCATCATTTAAAGCAATTAAATACCATTAAAGGTTCTGCCCTTTTGGTAGAACAAGTTCTTTTCAATGTTTCTATAATTTATCTTAAGCTTTCCACCAATACAGTTGGTGGGAGGGTATCCCCTTATTCTGGGATTTATTTACCTCAAGGCTGGAACATTTTGTTCAACTAAGAATTTTTACTGGGACTTTGTATCTCAATGTCTTTTTATTCTTATTGTATACTATTCAATATTCAGGGCTCCCTTTTTTTTTTTTCCTGAACCCATATGACCCTTTATCTCTGATTTCTCTCAATTCCCTTTGACCTTTGCTTGAAAACCTACAAAACATTGGCCAGTTCTTTTCTTGCTACAGTCAGGCAAAATAACCAACATATACAAAATTCTCACTCTTTCCAAAAATTTCATCTAGAATCATGGCTCACTGAGAACCTGTTATCTACATTCCATGTAAGCAAAAGTATCTGCTTTACCAAATATTTCCCCAAAGCATAGTTTCTCCCATATTCTACCTTGTTCTTCATCACACACACATATTAAACACTTAAAAAAAGGCAAATATTTTAGTTCATTGTTAAAGTAGAATCCCATTCCAAAGTACTCAATTTTATACTACTCACTGTAGTGCTAGATAAAATGATAAAATGTGAAATCACAGTGACATTACACAGTAGATGATTATCTCTTACTCACATAAAGTCTAAAATGGAAAACTGGATGCCCTTCTGATTTGCAGGTGGCTATTCTCTCTGTCATAATTTATGGAACCGTATATTTTTCTACCCTGTGGCTCTGCCATCCTCAACACGTGAGTTTCAAAGGTATAGTGTCCACCTATATCAAGAGAAAGTGGAAAGAATGTGGAGGGTCACATGTGAGTTCTTTATGAACCAGGCTTGGAAGTGCCTACACATTTCCATTCACGTACAGTTGGTTAGATCTCGGGGCACCTGGCTAGCTCAGTCAGTAGAGCATGCAACTCTTGATCTCAGGGTTTTGAGTTTGAGCCCCATGTTGGGTGTAGAGATTACTTAAAAATAAAAAATCTTTTAAAAAATTGGTTAGATCTCAGTCACATAGTTCCACTATTTGGAAGGCTGAACGAAGAAAGAATGGTATTTGGGGAATTCATGGTCATCTCTGTTGTGGTAATACATAATTAAACTACATAGTTGTGTGCTATTAAATAAATATAACATTACTTAATATCAAAATGGTGATTAATAAGCTGAAACAATCACAGCAGATCCTTGGAGGAGGTGGTATTTGAGCTGTGACTTTGAAGGTAGGTATGGGGGTGCCTGGGTGGCTCAGTCGGTTAAGTGTCTGCCTTTGGCTCAGGTCATGATCTCAGGGTCCTGGGATTGAGCCCAGCGTCAGGCTCCCTGCTTAACAGGGTGTCTGCTTCTCCCTCTGCCTCTGCTCCTCTCCACACCCCCCTGCCCCGGGCTTGTGCTCTCTCTCTCAAATAAGTAAGTAAGTAAGTAAGTATGTAACTAACTAACTAACTAACTAACTAACTAACTAACTAACTAACTAAATAAATAAATAAAATCTTAAGAAAAAAAATAAAAGTAGGCATGAATGGAAGTAATGGGGAAGGTACAGCCATAGTAGGGGTATGAGATAGGGCTGAAAGTAAGCTACTTTTCTCTTCTGAGGGTAATATTATCTTGCCCTGCCTGCCTCACAAATTTATAGATATGAGATCTTTGACCTATTGCCTTGGTAATTTGTCTTACAAAGAAGGACAATATTATTTGGGAATTATGGCTATGTTTTCAGAGAGCAAAAAGTATCCCAGTCTTTGTGACCCACTGTTCAACTAGTTTACAAGTATAAAATAAGAAAAACGTGGTAGAGAAGAATTATTGTATCAAAGTATTAGGCAATTTTAGATACTGAACCTTGGCTTTTGTATTCAAAGAAGAGTTTTGCCACCATATTAATTAATGAATTTTGGAAGGCAGATTATATCAAACAAGTATATAAGCAAGTTCTCATTCTGTTTCCAATAGGAATCACCCTGTAGTCTTCATTGAAGAATAAAGCTTTGGGATCTTGCCTAACTTCTGTTTTTGGCCATTGACAGGGATCTTTTTACTAGTACCATCTACTTCTGATAGCTTCACCCTGAGAGTAGGAGCTCATTCTTGTTAGTTCTTATTTACATTCTGGAAATTGGTCAGAATTTTACAACATCAAAGGGCACAGGAGAATGTCTATTCTAATCTATTCATGTTATACACAAGGATAATTGAAAACAAAGATGTTCAGTGAGTTACTCAAGGTCATTTAGGCCATTACTGGAATAGTTTCCAGTTTTAGAACTCTTGCCAATATATGCTGTATTTAAAAAATCACCTCTTCCTCCAATTTTGTTTATGCCTGATTTTCTCATGACTCAAACTTTTCTACTCAAAAGTAAACTGCCTTTGTTAGCCTGGCAATGTCTTTTCTCTTTAAATTTTAAAGTGGACAGTTGTGATGCCAAGTAGTGTCATAATTCTAAAAATTTATTATTACTGACTGTCTCAGTTTTCATATAGAGAAGAATTGTCATTATTAGAGAGTTGATGCAAAATTTCGTTTTTGAGGTAAATTTTGATAGAAGATAGGTATTCAACATTTCCTGCTGATTAATTTATGAACTATTTGGTTAATAGAAATACTCTACAACTCAGGGACAAAACATCAATAATTTATTCTTACATATGCGTCTGTAGGTCAGCTCATTCTGCCGAACTAGGCTAGGCTCAGGATGTGCTTGGCTCAAAGTCGTAGGTCAATTCTCTGTCTTCTGTATATGTCTTATACTTAGACCAGCAACTGCCTGAAGCATGTTCTTAGAATAAAAGTCAGGAGAACAAGACCAATAGTGCAGTATATTTCAAGCCTCTGCTCACATGTCTCTGTTAATGCCCCCTTGGGCAAATCTCATCATATAGCCAAATCCTGTGTCTCAGGAGTAGGGAGGTATAGTCTGCTAACATGAAGTCATCATCAGATCAGTCAGCATAATATGATAATTAAAAGCTTAGACATTGGAGTGAAACAGACCTAGATATCAATCCTGGCTCTACCATTTACTATGGTGACATTGGATGAGTTTCCTAACTACTCTGGTTCTCAAGTTTCTCTTCTATAAAATGGGCATGATATAACATTTCTCTTGTAGTGAACATCAGTAATACACATAAACTACAGAGTGATGATTCAATAAAGTATAACTGCTATTTTATTACTGCTGCTTTTACTAGTGTCCTATAAGACACATGGATGCTGAATAGTAGGACATTTATGCATTTGGCTGTGGAAACTCTAATTCTTACTATTAACCTACTCAGTAGGGTGATCTCTAGAAAAAAAATCCTGCCTCAAAATGTACTTTATGGGGCGCCTGGGTGGCTCAGTTGGTTAAGCGACTGCCTTCGGCTCAGGTCATGATCCTGGAGTCCCTGGATCGAGTCCCGCATCGGGCTTCCTGCTCAGCAGGGAGTCTGCTTCGTCCTCTGACCCTATCCCCTCTCAGGTATTCTCTCTCATTCTCTCACTCTCAAATAAATAAATAAATAAAAATCTTAAAAAAAAAATGTACTTTATGTACTCTCAAAATTGGCCAAGCTATTGTTCTGGCAGGTCTCTTGAAGCTCTAGAATCCTCGCTTCTACATATTTTCCTAGTTTTATAAAAAGAAGAGAGTGACAACTCTCAAAGAAGATGATTGAAGTTGAGAAGTAATGAATCTACAAATGACTGTGGATCAGTGACCAAACAGAAAAACCCCATACACAGAGATTTAAGAATTCACATCACAGCATTTCTTCTCCCCCAACCCTTTGATAGTATTAATTCCCTATTCCCAAACTCCCCATGGACACACAAAAATATCAACAGCCTACATAAAGACAACAATGATTAAAGTGGCCAATTCTAACACAAACAATTTGAATCATTCCACAAGATGACACTCATACTGGGTGTTAGGCTCTCTTGTGAAAGAAATTGCAAGGTTTTATATGGTTGTAGAATAACCAGAAATATGACTTATGTTTTCCAGCTTCCGTAGCTGACTTCAATGATCTTGTAACAGGCATGAAAAAGGCAAAATGCTGTACTGCCATTTGAACGAAGCCATCACCAAGGCCTCATGGAAAATGCAAAGTAAGTAACCACAAAGGCTTCTATTTTGAATGAACTCGTGGAAATTTTATATGTGAAAATAGTATTAAAATTGTAAAATACATCACTGTGGGTGTGTTAGAAAACAGCTGGTCTTGTTCTTCCCCTTCCCACATTTCTACATTATTCCATATGCTGTGATAACTACACACACACACTGTTGTTATCAGAATTTTATTTTGTTCTTGTTGTTATGTTTAAGAGTTTTCCAAAATAATCTCAAATCTCTTGAATCCATCTGGAACATTATCTGGAATACCAATATATCACAAATATATTAGACTGAACCATATAAGATTTCCATTACTTATGTAAAAATTGCCAAATACCAATAATTTCATGGTGTTGACTACTAGATAACAATGTGGTTGGGGATAGAAATAAAGTGGGGAAGGGACATGCATTGGTTCTTAAATAGTGAACAAGATCCAAGTAGACTATTGGTGGGGAAGTCCTTCTAGGGACCAGCACACCCTGTTTGCACAAAGACTATTCAGAATGGAACAAGTCAGTTGCCCCACCCCTGGTGTTCCCAGTGACAGAGGCAAAAGTTAACCATCCTTGCTAGGCAAAGATGTCCATATTCCAAGAGAGAAGATGACAAGATACTTACCAATAGCTGCTTAAATTACTTTTATTAATTCCAATCCACTTGTGATCAGTCTGGGTACTTGATAGAATAGTGTCAAGTCATTGAGCTCATATTCTTCACAAATAATATTTGTATTCTCTTGACATTCGGTTTATTGAAGGAGACAGTATAGTCTGTTGCCTTATCCCAGTCAAGTTATCCACCACAATTTCCAAGGTATAAAATGTGCTCAAGCATGATATAAGGCTAGTCACTAAGCAACCAAATCAACAATAGAATCACAGACAGAGAATATATTGCAGTAATTCTATGCTGTATTAAATATAAATGATGACAAGCCTTAGATTCCAGGTCTGACAATGGTAGGCAATGAGGAAATCTGCCAGAAGAAAGAAGAATACTATGTTGATAATATTGCCATGTAGAATGGAAGTAGGTGGTTTGAAGTCGGAAGAAACTTCGTACATATGTATTTATATTTTATGTCTTCCACTTAGTGTATTACCACTGAAAGAACAAATCAGCAATAGAATATTTTAAAACCTAATTGAAGATGGGTCTAATCTTGAATCCCCACATGTTTTGATTTTTAGCTTTACCAATACAAGTAATCTTGGATTATAGAATGGACAAGGCACATTTGTTTTTCTGAGTATTTTTGCAAAATATATGATGCATTTATTCAGAAGATCAATTTTTTCCCAAAAAGTTTCTGAATTTATGATACTGAGAAGTCCCCCAAGTGTATATTCTTGTTCATCTCAAAATAAGGCAAAAAAAAAAAAAGTTTGTTTTAAGCTAGATGCATTGAAGTTCCCATGGAGAAAATGAAAAATAAAATAAGCAGTGCAATCTGGGCTTCCTTACCTTATTAATAAATAAAGTCATAATAGTTTGCTTATAAACAAGATTCTACAACTGCATAAGTGATGTCAAGTTAGAAAATAGTTACATTTATTCAGATAAACAGTGACTTTTTTTTAAAGTAAGCTTTATGCCCAACATGGGGCTTAAACTCGTGACCCCGAGAGATCAAGAGTTGTATGCTCGGGGCGCCTGGGTGGCTCAGTCGTTAAGTGTCTGCCTTCGGCTCAGGTCATGATCCCAGGGTCCTGGGATCAAGTCCCACATTGGGCTCCCTCCTCGACGGGAAGCCTGCTTCTCCCTCTCCCACTCCCGCTGCTTGTGTTCCTGCTCTCGCTATCTCTGTCTCTGTCAAATAAATAAATAAAATTTAAAAAAAAAAAAAAAAAAAGGAGTTGTATGCTCTACTGACTGAGCCAAACAGGCACCCCCAGATAAACAGTGACTTGGACAATTACCACAGTAAATTTACTAGTGATTTTCAGAGGTTAAGTAGTCTATCAACTTGAAGAAATAAAAATCAACAACCATAAAATCTTATATAATCTGGGAAAATATGTTGAACCATGCTTATTTCTAGGGATAAATTCTACTTGACCATTTTGTTTGATTCTTTCAATATGCTGTTGAATTTAATTTGCTAGTATTTTGTTGAGAATTTTTGCACCTATATTCATCAGGGATAGTGGCCTGTGGTTTTATTTTCTCATAAGATCTTCATCTGGCTTCGGTACTGAGGTAATGCCAGCATCATAAAATGAGTTTATGAGTTTTCCTTCCTCTTCTATTTTTGGGAGAGTTTGAGCAGAATTCTCCCTAAATGTTTGACAGAATTCACCAGTGAAGTCGTCTGTTTCTCAGCCTTTTTTTTGGTGAGTGGTTTTTGATTACTGATTCAATCTCCTTACTCGTTATTGGTCTTTCAGATTTTTTTATTTCTTCACGTTTCTGTCTTGGGTTGTATGTTTCCAGGAGTTCATCCGTTTCTTCTGGGTTGTCCACTTTGTTGGTGTGTAATTGTTCCACCTTCTCGTGATCCTTTGTATTTCCATTATATCAAGTGTGTCTACTGTATCAGGCTGCTTTCTAGCAGTGGCACAGCTGCAGAGGCCTGGGCTGGCTGCCAGTAAGGGTCCTGGTCTGGGAGTGGGGTAGCAGAAGGGACGGAGGCAGGTGGCAACAGCAAGGACAAGTACCTGCAGGGCAAAGACTGGTGAAATCTGCAGGGAAATGGGTTTCTTCGACCTGGTGAAAGCTGCTGGGATTGTTTGCAGAGCAGGTCGCTGGGAACAGAGGTAGCTCCCACTGTGTGGCTGATACCAGTAGCCCCTGTTTTTCTTTCTTATTCCCAAGATTCTATACATCTGAGGTTGGTTGGTCTCTGGGTGGGGTGAAATTGAAGCAGGTCCTTTGTGGGGTGCTCTAAAAGGGTGGAGAACTTGATTGTTCACTCTGCTCTCCCTTTCCTGCTGAGAACAGCTCTTTCTAGCTGGAGAGTTCCCTTTGGCATTGAACAATGCTTGTTTCAGGGATGAGATAATGTAGGCAAGTGAACCTGTTTTTCTTTTCCTTCTTATGCAGTTACTCTCAAGTTTTTGTTTTCCTGTGTTGCTGAAGTTCTTAAAGGGACTACACAGCTCTTCTAGAACTGTTTCTGTTCATAGATTGCTATTTAATTGTTGATCATTGTGGGGAGATGGAGGCTGGGATCTCCTACTCCACCATCTTGGTGACATTAGAAATTGATTTCTTTTATTCATTGTTTCATTTAAAAATATTTAGTGAATGTCACATATGTATATGGTACTGTGATAAAATGAAGCTTTAGTCTAGGAATTACTTGGGTTTAAGGTCCTGACCCAACTCATCTTTGACTCTTCTAGCCCTTGAATAATATAAGGAAAAAGTAAAAGGAAACATACAGGGGTCTGGAGGTGAAAAGAGAATAAAAGAGGAGAAAGGTAGTAAGGGAAAGGAGCAAAAGGAGGATGAGAGGGCAGAAATGTTCCTTGGTATTTAGAAAAATGGTTTGTGTCAAAAAAAAAAAAAAGACATGATCTCCAAGGCCACTTTTTTGCTCACTACATATGTAATCCTTGGCCTTATTTCCCTCATTTGAATAATGGGGATAATATCCACTTCTTTCTTATGTGGATTAAATGAGATCATTACTACAAAGTGTCTGGCACAAAATCAACACTCAATACATAATAGCTGTTACCTAGTTAGATATATCTTAGGAGTCAACTCTCTTCAGACATTTCTTAATCCAAAATCCTTGATGATACTGTGTGAGGGGGAATCAAGACCAAAACAATCAAGTCTGAGGAAACGGTAAAATTAAGTGAATTCACTATTAGAAGATCAAAATAAGTCACCCACATTACAGAGATAGAATAATAAACTCGAAAAGAGTAAGCAACAATGCCAATAAGACAGAATCTACTAAAGGAATCAAAAGAAAAACAAGTAGGGCCATGAGTGTCAAAATCAAGTAAGGAAGACTCGAATACATAAGGGTCTGAAAATTTGTCTTTCCTTCCATTCCATATTGCTCAAACTCTCATTCCATTAGAACTCTGGGTCCTATTTTGACTACGTTTGTTTAAAAGGATGAAGTGAGGGGTGACTGGGTGGCACAGTTGGCTAATCGTTGGACTCTTGTTTTTGGCTCAGGTAGTGATCTCAGAATTATGAGATCAAACCCCGTGTCGGGCACCATGCTCAGCGAAGCATCTGCTTAAGACTCTTTCCTTATCCCTCTGCCCCTCTCCCCACATCTCTCAAATAAATAAATGAATAATTAAAAAAATAAAATAAAATGAAAATAAGGAGCACCTGGGTGGCTCAGTCAGTTAAGCATTTGACTCTTGGTTTCAGCTCAGGTCGTGAGATCAGATCTTGGGATCCCTGGCATCAGGCTCCATGCTCAGCAGGGAGTCCTCTTGAGTTTCTCTCTCCCTCTCCCTCTGCCCCTCCACTCTGTTTGCATGCTATCTCTAAAATAAATAAATGAATCTTTGAAAAAAAAATAAAATAAAAAAATAAAAATAAAAGGATGAAGTGAAACTGGAAAACTTTAGGAATGAATGATAGCAATGGAAATAAAACCTTATAAAGAAATGATAGAAACAATTTACATCATTTGACTTAGCAAATAGCATTTTACGAAGTGATACAATTAGTACTCAAGATAATTAACTTCACTTTTTTTCCCCTAAACATCAAAGTATTTATTTTCCAAGTCCATGAAAAAACAGAAATAAAAAAGAGGAAGAAAAGAAGTGGGGTGGAGAAAGGTCAAATTAAAACAAGAATTTCAGTTAAAACTAAGAAAGAACTAGATACATAATAAACATGGGAGGAAGTGGCCTGAGGGGTTTTGTTTGGGATTTATTACTTTTGTAGCCTTTAGCATGTTTACAAAGAAACTACTGTTTGTCTTAGACTATTTATATAAATGTTTTTGAAAGGTGGGAAGCTATAATAATGAATCTCTTATTTTGTGCTTAATAATTTAATAAAT